CAAAATTCAGTCTGATTAGACTGACACAGAACTGCATCATACTGTAAAAGTGATGTGATTCTGATTTCAAATAATTAATCATTCAATAGCTTCTAAAAGATCTAATTATTTTCTCATTTTGCCGTTGAAAACAACCATATGCTTTAAGCTGTTCCTCACTGAAAACGTGAGTCCAAGAGGGAGGTATTTTATCCTGTTTAACATGGCCCTCTACTGGCAAAATAACCCCCCAAAATCTTACCACTCTAGCATTTTGTCAGACCATTTCAGAGCAGCAGAAAAGATCCTACATTTTACAGCAGTTACACCAAATCTTAGAAGATAGAGTAGATCAGAGATTTAGGACTTTGCATAAATTAAGTCACCACTTAATCTCTCCAGAATCCCCTTGAGGAGAGCATTACTTCCTTTCACCCACCAGATGCAGCTCTGGCCATCAGCAGAGCACTGAAGAAACAAGCCAAGTGCTCATATCTAGAGGAGTAAGTAATTTTAGAAACAAATGCAGTCCTACTTGTGTCAAGTTGTGCTGTGCTCCTCAAGGATTGCCACTGACTCCCCACAGGACTGATGCACACATGTGAGTTCAGTTTGCACAATTAGCTAATACTTAGTATAGGCAAAATGAGCATAATAGATCCCAGCTGCCAAAAGGACACTGTTTGAAATACAAATGCTAACTCCCATCAAAAGCACCTCCACTGCAAAAGAATTCCTGCTTCCTTCTTTTCCCCACCATTGCTGAAAATCCTCAGTTGTGATTCAATACAGCTTCAATCAAAGTGAAGCAGACAATGAAATTCGCCTCTGTTGTTGCATGTGGTAATTAACTCTTCCTATTTGTATTATGTTTGAGCAACAAAGAAACAAAAGGATACAGTAAAGTATTGAATTTAACAATTTAGATAACGATGAATTATAATAATCAATTAGCATTGTCAAAGAAAATAATTTGTGACATGTATTTGATTCTGTCCAGACCCATTGTGTGCACACACTGTCCAAGGCTGGTTTGGCTCTGGAAAACAAATAGATTTGTCCTGTGGAAAGCTTATCAAACATGCAGTTTAACAGTGGCATTTGTTCTTGCTGCATGTCAATATTAATAGTCCACATTTCAGCAACATAATTTTTATCCATTGCTTTATAATCCAACCTGCTTTTCAGGGTCTGCATCATTCATAGCCCATAGACAATGTCACAGCCCGTTTCCAGAAGCCATTGCTGCTGTACAAACCCCGTTTATCTGATCCACCTGAATGCCAAGCAATGGGCACATAAAAGATTTCCCAGAGTTTTTCACATAATAGCTATCTAACTTTTCATCCTGCAAACATCATGACTAATTCACATAACCATCAAGGAAATCCTAATGTAATTCAGGTTCCTGCATGCTGCACGAGTCCTATCAGTAGACAGTACAGAACAGAGCATTACAAGTGTTAATGGCTCATGTTCTATTTACATTGTACATTTATCCTCTTTTAGTAATAAAACAGCATATTACATGCTTTAACTTCTGAAGGTATTCTGGCAGCTTTGGCATTTCTTCAGCATAACTGCAGTCCTGCCAGGAGCTGAACACGTGCAGAGCCACACACGAGCTGCAGAGCATCCTGCTGCATTTGGCCCTGGCTGCACCGTGCTGAGCTCCTCAGCCAGCTGAGCTTCCCTCTGACACCTTTGTTCCGCATCTTTTATCCCAACCTCAGTCCCACTTGTCAGACGATTACAGGCTGGAGTCTGCTCTTATTCCATTTCTTTTCAGATGGCGAGAAAGCCTGAAGAATTGTCATTCTCTTGGCAATTGTCCCTTTCAGTGCCATCCCAGAATATTATCAGATTATACTCTGTATCCATGGGCAGATTTCTCTGGAAAAATCCAACCAGGGCATCCCTTGGCTGAAAAGTGAGCTCAATCTATATCCTAATTTGCTGCATTGGTATATAAGAAAGAAAATGTAAATGTGAGAAGGAAAATGCAAAAGAGGAAAAAGAAAATTGGATGCCCACAGGCTCATCAGGTTTTGAGTGTCTGCTTCTGCTTTTAAGGGAATTAGCTGAAGATTAGTTCATGACTAAAGTGGAATTGTACCCTCCTGCTCTACATTTACTGGGGCAGGAATTCTACTTCCATAAATCTAAGCCTCCTAAACACTTATACACAATTCATGTACAAAAACAATACCATAGGAACCCATGAAGTTTTCTTGAAAAGCTGCAATATTCACATTTTTCAGATTAGAATTTGCATTTAAAATTAAGGTGAGAAGGATAAATGGAATGTGAGTAGGGTTTTTTTTTATTCCCATGTTGTTCTAACTATTTTGAAGATTTCAAAGCCATTTATTTGCCAACAACATCTGAAACTTTGCAAGTGTAAATTATCAGTTCACAAAAGCAGATCACCTTTATTGGCCATAAGGTGACAGAGGGAAGGAAAGACTGGCTCTCAGGGGTCAGTGATAGGAACCAAACCCATTCCATCTCCCCAGAGAAAGGCTTCTATCAAAACTCTCTGCTCTTCACTCCTGCATTTGGTGAAAGTTTCTGAGCCACAAAAATGTCTTTTAAAGACCATATAAACTTTTCAAATAGCATTTCCCAAAAATGAGGATGAACACCTGAGGAATAAAAAAATACGCTCTTATTTACACACCCATTAGAAACACCAAAAGTCTTTGCCATTCCCATGGTATTAATGCAGAGCTAAATTTAGGTTGGTTCCCCCCACCCCTTAAGAGAATATGCTTCCATTGCAAAGACAGAACAACAGCTCCTGCATTGAACAGTATTTTGACATGCCAAGCCACATTACAGCATCAAAAAAGAAGAGCTGGACAGTTTTGATCTGCTGTAGAAACAGGGTCACTTGAGAGGGGCATCTGCAGTTGTAGCCTCTCTGACCTTAATAAGAAGCCCCAAAAAAATCTGTTGCTGAGTGGGACTGAGAGGCCTTGTAAACAAAGTCAGTAGCAAGGAAAGCAAACCAAAATAAATAGTGTTGATAATTCACGAGGAACCCTCTGATTCCTACCTGATTGATTTGTACTGACTTACCCTCATACACTTGCCAATCATAATTTTCTGATTTCAACCCTCAGAAATGTGCTTTGTCTTCACAAAGACAGATCATTAAACAGAGGTAAACAGTAATAAAAAGTTCCTCATACACAGTACTGTGATTATGTTACATCCTAGAAGAAGCCACTACAACTGAAATTACAGTAATTTAGAATGGGCTTCTGGTGAAAGATTGAAATGAGAAGCAAAAGACCTGGGGTGTGTTACTTGCTTTTGAAGTGGGTAAACTAAATTTTAATAAACCACATCTATGGACCAGTTTACTCCTCTGTCAAACACAGATAATTCCATGCCAATCACAGCTAGTTGTCCTGAAAATTAGTTAATCTCTGGTCAGAAAAACAGTTATATCCCACAAACAGCAGGCAGAACAGCAAGTTTTTTCACAGCAGCTGCCAGAATGCGAGTTTTTCTGCTTTGATATTTCAGGATGTGATGTGATTCTTAACATAAATCACTCCAAACAAAAATTACAGTTTCTCATATAATTGAGAAATCATTCTATCCAAAAGGTATCAGATTTCAAAGCACTGTATGATTCTGTTCCTTAAACTTATACACCTCCAGAACTTGAGCAGGATCTAAAAATGAAAAATAATCAAGTTCTGTTTGAAATAAATGCCCGCATAAGAAACAAAATAATTTTTAAAGAAAACTGTACAAAAAAACTAAGAGGAATTTATAATAAAAATCCTAAATAATCCCAAATATTCAAATAAATATAATTCAATTACAAGAGAACAACCTTCAGACAGCCCAGGTTTTGTTCACTTAATGACAGCACTCAGGAGACTTTAAGAATCTTAAAGTTTCATCACTTAAATTAAGAGAGAGCCACTTCAGCGTAATCTCATACAAACAAAAGCCAGAATGAAGTTTTCATTTGTCCTGAACCTCAGTCAGATGCATGGCTGTAATTACTCCTAACAACTACATACTTGCCACTCTTTTAATTAAAACAAAACTACAAATAGCAACGCTGACACACTCCTAGAGAAAATAAGCTTTACAGAGATGATAGAAACACCAAAACAGCAAAAGCCTTACTTGCAGCAGTTCAGTCAAAACATGCCAGCCCTGGAGAACTCACAACCGTAAGAAGTCTTTGCAGTCCAGAAATTCTCTTGAGTTTATCCAGTGTTTATTTACTGAGCTTTAAAAGTCTGTGGTTAGAAGAACAGAGCTAGCTTTCTACACCCTCCACAGCACCAAAGTCCTTCAGTAACAGCAGACATGAAGTTTGCTGATAGTTGGGTTTGCTGCTGCTATGTAGTTGCTCAGTACTTGTAAATACAAGCTCTGTGGACAAAGTCCCAAATGACATCACAGGCAGCTGCTTATTGTTGAGTCTTTATTAACCGACTGTCAAAAAAGAAAAGAGAGGAGGAAAGAAAAGCCCAAACTATCTTCCCTGCAGCACAATTTGCATCTTAGTAGGAGTTTCAGGGCTACACATATAAATACTTCTGTTTACCCAACTGATGTTTTTCTAGAATGATTAAACAGTGTTTGCAGGGAAAGCAAAAAAAGTAAGAAAAACTTAAACAGCTTCACCACGTGAAGAACACAGGGAAAAAAAAAGAAAAAAAAAAAACACCAGCGCTGCCTTTTTCACAATTTATCACTGAATTTCTCCTAATTCTTTTGTTTAACAATATGGGTGCAAACCTGCCTGGATTTTAAAGCACAGAGCAGAGGACTTCAGTAGGTTGAAATGAAAGTTTCAACTGATTCCAAATTTGAAGTTACAGAATTACAAACTTTTTTGTGTCCTTTGCAAGATTTAAGGCAGCTCAGCTTCAGTAACAGTACATTTTGAAGAAAACCCTCTTACTTTCCAAAGATGAAAATACAAGAAAGCAAGAAACAGCATCAAATATAGTCATTCACAAGGTGCTAAGGGCATAAATACTGACCTTTCTTGCACAGAGGGGAGCTCCAAGACTAAGCAGCACTGTGGAGCCAAAACACACATTCAACTCCCACCGAGGCACAGGGCACTCACTGGAGAACTAGTCCAGCTCCTAATCTGAATCTGTCACAGAGTTCCTGCTGAAAGAGAGGGGCTGGGACTCTGTGCCTTGATTTCTCAGAAGTCAGTCCTTTCAAGTCAGAACTTCAAACGCTGAAAGAGCTCCACCAAGGCTTGTGACAGACTGAGCTCTCTTATCTGTGCGCGTTTCCACACGAAGAGGTTCAATATTGGAAACACCTGGCCACTCACATCTAAACAGCCTAAACTATCCCACAAACAACAAAACAAGTGAAACTCGAGCTCAGGGATGAGCAGAAGCCAAGTTTTCACTGCTTTTTTAATTGCTATACATGAAAGCCTCATCCCAAATTCTGCCTGTATTTACAGAGAGAAAACCAATCTTGGGTCAGATCCTCATCTGCTGTAAATCAGGCTAGATGCAATTACACACCTGAACAAGAGCAGTCAGCTGAAAGCCTGCTTTTAGACTGAAAGAGTGCCATTAAAAACATTTGTGTGACCTTAATAACAGAGTGTCCGATTTTCTTGGTGCTTGCCCTGAGTGGCAGCAATACCCTGCTGACACAGTGGTGCTGAGTTCATTGCCACTGCTCATGTGGGCAATTGCTACCTCTGCTGCTTGCTGCCTCTAAAATATAAATTTGTACTTTTGATGGAGGTCTTTTGTAAATCCATCATATTTATTCCTGTGGCTAATCAGCCTGTAGCACACAAGAAACACCACGCTGTGTAGCTCTGGGTTATATTTACCTCCCTGGCTCAAATACACAGGGCTGTGTTCCTCTTCCATTGCACCCAGCAATGGAAGGTTTTATACCTTGCTCATTAAGAGCTTGCCAGTCTGATCCAGGAAGTCTTCAAAATACTTTGAGGATGAAGTGGGCTATGGGAGTAATAAATACTAACACATAATATCGAATCAGATCAATTTCAAACCATACAGCTTTAGTTCCAGCTTCACAAGTGCCATTTAAGCAAACATGAGCAAGGCCCTGTGCTTGGATATACAGCTCCATAATGCTTCAGCTTTTTCCATGAGAAGCAAACCCATAAGATCAGCAGAAGGGTTAGATTTTGCTTGAATACGTCACAGATTAATAGCGTGCTTTCTCAGGCAAGGGATTAAATTCATTTTTTCACCTGCCATTAGAAGTAGTTATAAAATTTCAAAACACAGGTTACATTGAGGCTCTCCTGATGAGAAAACTGGCTTTCTCTGAGACACTAATGCAGACAAACATGTGCAGAAGAAAGGAGGAAAGTATACAGTCATAAAAGAGGGAAACCACTAGTTTAATTGAAAAAGCCAAGTACTTAATGAAATAAAAAAGGACGCGCCTTAAGGAAAATTTCAGCCTGTTCCCAGGAAGATTAGTAAAATTTAGCACTTACTAAATTTCCTAGGGTGTGTTAATGCATTTCCAGGCTAAGCACAACTGGGTGAGCAGGACTGGGACAGCACACACACAACTCACATCTTTCTGGTCAGAGTCATGAACTTGAGTTGCCTGAAAGCAATTTTTCCGAGTTTTTTCAGAAATTGTGGTTCTTGTAAAAATAAGTGCACAAAAAAAAACAAGTTCTGAGATTTGTGGGTTTAACCAGCAGATTATTCTTCCCAAGAGGAGAATTGCCATGAGGGTGGACAAACAGATTTTGCATTCTTCAAATTACAGCACTTATTAAGGGAGTGGCCATTAGCTCACCCTGTCAGTGCACTTATCCATCTAATTTCTATTCTAAGTCATAAGATATAGCTGCTGGCTGTGCAGATACAACTTATTTTTGGCAGGAATGCCACAGCTTTTGCTAGAACAAAACTAACAGCAGAATTCAGTCCTGGACTAGCTGCAGGTTGAGTGAAAAGATAAAGAATTCAAAGTCATGGGCTGCAGTCATTTCTCCTGGCCTGATGTGCAGTGATGGGCTACATTCTTGTATCTGAGAAAATAATTCAGCTTCGTATTGCCCCATTTTTGATGAGCAGACAGGTAAGATGAGGCATTACAAACTGATCTAAGTACATACAGATATTAAGAAAGCTTGCTAATTAACCTCTTGCAGTATGGGTAGGATCTCTCAAAGACCCCATATCTCATATGAACACAAAATCCACAGTATTTCAGGTTCACTGTCCACATTTGACTCTGCTTTGTTATTAACTTAGAAAGTTCCTCCTCACTGAAGAACCCAAAACAAGGACATCTCCCTGGAAAATGCAGTGGTTGGCTGGGATTGAGTCACCTAAACTGTACCTTTACTGAAGCATGCAGGAATCCCTCAACTTGTGATGTGCTTGCTCACTTCTTACCAGCTCAGGGGCAGGAAACAGCTTGGACCCAGGTGTCTCGAGCTTCAGTCTCTCATCACACCCCCCTAAAGCTGCAGCAGAAGTGATCAGACCCACAGCCGGAAGAGTTAAAAGGCAGGTGGGAAGAGCTAAGAGCATTTTCCCCAAGAGATGGCCCACTGTGCTGAGAGTTCTGTGTGATTCAGTGCAGTTACAGACAACCAACCCATGTAAAAGCCTTTGTTTTACTCTCCAGCTACTGCTGGGGCAAGGACAGACAAGGTGACAGGCCAAAGAGCAGTTTAGTCTTTGTCAAAATTGTTAAAATCCCAACAGATTGTAATGCGATAGAATATAAAATCCTAAACTGTTGTATTTTTATCCCGCAGTAAATACTTAGATTGCTGGAGTGAAAGTTTTTAAAAAATATAATAAAATAGTTAAACAAATTGTAGGCTGCAGGATTTGCCTTCTTTGGAGCTGCACATGGTTGAAAGTGTTGAGCTGGTTCCTAAAATATCATGGAAATTTCTCCAGTGTACTGAAAAGTGTTCTTTGAACATCACTATTATGCTCATTTTTATCAACACAGCTGAGTATGTCTTACAAAACATGTACCTACCCACAAGGATGTGAGGTGTCACAAGTTAACACAGTAAACACTTTCCTGGGGTAGCTGGCTGAGCAGATAAACAACTGACAAGTTGAAATAAGTGGAGAGAATAAAAGGAAGGGTGTGAGGGCAGTATATGAATCTCCTCAGATACTCACTGTCAAAAACTGGCCTTCAGTTGAAGCAGTTTGATCAGGCTGGTAAGCTTTTGATCACAAAGATAATTTGGTTTTTAGCCTTGCTAGGTGATTTTTCAAAGCTTTTTACCTCCCCTGCATGTCAAGAATAGGGAAAAGGTCCTTAGCAAAGGCAGCTTTTACTGCTGGAACAAACAATAGCTCTCTCTTCTGTCACATTTATGAATTTAAGCTTCAGAGAAAGCAGCAAATAGCATATAACAGTAACAGTAACTACACGCAGGGCTGGGGCTGACATCAGTCTGGTTTGTCCTCACGAGTTGTGCTCTGGCACTGCCCTGCTGCCCCCTCCAAGAGCTCCCAGACAGATTCTGTAACAACCTACGTGCTCCTCAGTACCTGTCAGTCCCGCAGCTAAAAAATATGATATTCTGCCTCCTGGAAGAGCACTTTTATATGGAAACATTTACCCTAACTCACATCCCACACTATGGGAAATCCTGTCCTTAAGTGTCAGGATGAAGCCTTGACACCTGATTCTGACACATAGGAAAAAGAAAGTCTAAAATGAAATGTTTAATCTAGCCTTTTCAGATGAGTTGAGAGCTAAAATGAGCATATATGATTGTTCCTGCCATAGCACTGATTTGCAATCAATTTCTAAATCTTTTTCAGTTCCATAATTTTTGCTTCAGTAGAATTCTATGAAAAGCATTCATTGGAGAAAATTGATGGGATGTCTTTAAAGGACATTGCCTTTCACTACAAATTGCCTCATTGTAAAATACGATATTAAGCAAATCATAAAAAGTTTGTTTTGAGTGTTTGCCACTTGAAACTGGAAGAAGTAGTTAGAACCTGGATTTTTTAATTACAAGGGAACTCAGAAATATTGTAAATATGATTACAAAATATAAGTACATAGGACTGACTCTCCTTAGTTCCATAGGTTAAGTCATTATTCCTTCTTTGCCTTTCCTGTTGTTTCTGGAATCAAACAATTGATTCAATCACCAGTGACCTTATCCAGAATTAATTGAAATCAATGGCATTAGTGGATTCTGGAGCAGGCCCAAAATCAATGTGTGTTCACAGGTTTTTTTTATATCCTCAATCACACAAGTAAGCCTCTGCAAATTCAGATTCCAGTGGATCCAATCATTAAATCAGTTCTGCAGTGTTTAACTTCACATATGGACAGGGCTCCCCTGCTGGATATTGAAAGTGGTCTCTATCATGAGGAGAAGGTTACTCTCATAATCTATTTCTGATGAAAGCATGTATTTGTACAGGTGTCAGTGATCCAGCAGGGCTGGCAGCTAATGGGAAGGCTGACTAATTTGCACTCTCCTGCTGCCTCCTCGGACATGTCGCTGTGTGTCGGCAGCAGAGGTACCGGCTTGTGAAACACACATTCCTCCGATGCAAGCATCTGGCTTCTTGGCAGCCAAGTTGTGACAGGTTCTGCGGCAGCTGGGATGGCCCCATGCTCTTTCAGATGGTTAAATAGTCTTGTTTTTCAGCCTAGCTTTGTTTTCCTGCTGCACTCCTGGATGGAAGCCCATTTGCCCTTTTAATCAATGAACTGGCCGTTGGATGGGAGTAATCAGCCACATTTCTGTGCACGTCAGAGCAGAGATTTCTGCCCAGACACTGCCAGCCCTGCAGCCCTGCACTCTTGACTCCGTGCTTAACCTCGTCCTGCTTCATCCTGACACCTAACACACCAAAGGAAGGACTGTCTTCCCAAACTGAGAGCAAAAAATACAACAGCATTCTTCATCCCTTTAGTCATGGGATTTCCTGGATTTCATAGCTCCTGCTTTGTACAGGAGACGGTATTCAGATCAACTAAGGAATACAATTTATTTATTTCAGATGGCTTTATAAACTGTCCCCCCATATGCATGCACCAGATGGAGATAAGAATCTGGCTGGAAGGTCTAGCCTTACACAGTGTGGCACAGAGGTAACAGCACATCAGATTATTGAGAGAAAAAAATATTCAGAGAAGATTCCATAAATCTGAAATAAATTTTATTTAAATTGCCTTTAAACATATTATGCAAATCCACAACATAACAAGCAGTTCCGAGTAATTCCCTCAAATAAATGAACGCATGGCACTACTAACACCAAATGTGATAACGCAGAATTAAAAAGGAGTTCTCAGAGGGATACCACAAAAATCAAAAGCTGTCATCTGCCTCTCAGCCATTTGTAAGCCACCTCCACCTTTTCACTCTAAATGATAATCTCCTTTTTTCTCCTT